CAGCTGCCTTTTTGTTTCATCCTATATCATAATATCACAGTACTTTGAAAAGAACCGTTTTATAGCAACTGGCATTTTAGCGTCTGGAACGGGACTGGGTGTTTTTATTGTTGCGCCAATCCTACAATCCTTGCTGGACTCCTTTGATTGGAGAAAGACTTACCGCATAACTGCTGGGATCATTGCAGTTGTTTGTGTTTTGTGCTTGACGTTTGATCCCACTGTAACAATTAATTCTAAGAAAGGGAAAAACCAAGCCCACAATGGAGAAGAAAAAGAATTAGAAAGTCAAGATGAGCCGGAAGAAGGAACTACAGAAAAAGCAAACAAGTGGATAGACTTCTCTGTGTTTAAGGAGAAGGTGTTTGTCGTTTTAACCCTTTCATTTGCGTTGGCCTTGTTAGGACATCATGTTCCAAGGTTGCACTTGGTAAGATTCTGCTATGTAGATGTAAGCTGTTCACACTAGCATTATCCAGTGGCGGATCTAGCCTGGGATGGGCCCAGGGTACTTGGGCCTCTTCTTTTTGGCAAAGCGCTTATAATAAAAATAACAAAATTTCGAACCCCACTTTTGGAAAACACTTTCCAAGGGGTCCAGGCTTTTAGCCAGATGGGTGTCCAAGTGTCTTGTGGACAGCCACATTTTAAACAGAATTGTTTTATTTTTCATATGTTGCCTTATGAATTGTTCATTTGAGCAGCCCTAGCCCTATAGCACATTTTAGATGCCTACTTTTCAAATCCTGACTAAAAGAAGGGGTCCCCATGTTATAAAGAAGTCTCAGGGGCCTCTTCATATGAGCCCAATAACCGGACTGGCTTGCAGGTTTCCGAGATGAATTTTGTTGTCTTTTTGAGATATATGGGAAATTCCGGCCTGGTCAACTGGGATGAAATTCAAGACACAAAACCAAAATGGTGTCATATAAAGTTGCATTGTTCGCAACTAGCCTATCATAGCCTTGTAGCTGTTGGCTCTCTTGACTTGTGACGTAGTCTTTTCTAATAAAGCTAATTTGCATACTTCTGAAGTACATATATGTACGAGGCAAAAATTATGCCATTTTGGCTAATCCATTGCCAAAGCAAAGTCATTTTGTCTATTGAATTGAAACAGGGTTCACCCAGCCGGTTACCCGAGCTTGAGTGTTTATATGGGAAAAATTTTCATCCTGGTTCACCGTTGCTGAGTTCTCAGTTATAAAAACCATGATCTCGGTAACTGGGCTGGCCTGCCTTCTGATACGTTCATAAACACATCAAAATATTAGCAAAGAAAACAGGAGTGATAACATGAGGCAAGATCTCAGTAACCGCGCCATCCCAGTCAACCGGGCTCATATGAAGACACCCTGGATCCATCACTGTTATTCCCCCTCAATTCACAGGGCTGGCATAACCTAATTACAGTTAATCTCATTCCATACTCGTCTGACTGACCTCAAAATGTCTGTCAAGGAAACAACAATCACACCAAGCTTGTACAATGTGAATCACATTAATACAGATGTGAAAATCACATTGTTTTGACTGTAATGTAGTTACATTTTTCATTTTTCTATTCGCACATTTGCATTTTTATTAAGGCATTAACTTGCGCTGCTAATGAATGTCACCCCATAGGGATAGGGTTGGGCCTTCTGAGTTCCATGCCAGAAGGACTGATGATGATAAACAGGAAAAAAAGTGACAAAAGATGGAAAAATAAATTTCTTATATGAAGACAGTTTTGATACTGAATATAACTGTAATTACTCAGAACTGCAGTACATTTGTATTTTGACTTATCCTATGGGCGTGCCAAAGTACAACAAGGTTCTAGAAGTATTAAGTGTCTAACTACTATCGGCCACTAAGATATCATGGTATTACTAACAATATATCAATTTGATTCTCTCATTTTTTTTGGCACGGCAGGTAAAATTTGCAGAAGGCCTCCAGGTGTCAGCTGATGCAGCTTCAAGGCTTTTCATTTACATCGGTATCAGCACATTTATTGGCCGATTGCTCAGCGGTTTCTTGTGTAACATACTTTGTGTAAATCCCTTCTATTTGTTTATGGTTGGTCTTATTTTAGATGGCTCTTCTGCAGTCTTTCTTTCTCAAGCTAAACACTATGGACAGCTTATTGCATTTGCCTTTTCCTATGGATTAGCAGATGGTCTTGTAATAGGAACTTTTAATATTACCATACTCTACTGTGTGGAGCCAAGTAAGAGGGCATCAGGATTTGGTTTATCTGCTCTTTTCTATGGAACAACAACTGCCACTGGCCCTCCTTTGGCAGGTAAAAGTATCACTGTAAATATCTGCAGACTAGATAATGTTGTATCATTTTCTACAGCATCCTCAGCAGTGCGTCTGTGAACTGATGTTTAGATAAGTTTTGCCACTTTCAATCATCGGATTAGATTTTATTTATTATTTTTATTTCTTTTTTTTTTTTTTTTTTTTTG